GATGGGAATAAGATTAGCTCTTGAGATTGAGATGATGAGGGCAGACTGCACATAATGAATGATTATTCCCTCTTGGGCACATTAAAACCAAAAAAACAACAACTTAAAAAGATAGCATTTGTCATTGTTATTAGTAAGACTGGCAGAATTATCATGTTCTACTTCTGCGAACAGCGGAGACTCCCTGTGCTTGAAGAAGGGTGATTGCATCCGAAAGCTTGCTAAAAACTTTTTTCCAACTACTCAGTGGGTCTAATGAAAGAGATCCCACCTACCCAAAGGACCTGGCCTGCCCGTGTTCTACTTCTGATCTTACATACTGTTACTGTGCCTATAGTTACTTGAGGTCCACAAGTAATTTTAGAACAGAAACTCCTGGTGAAGTTTCATCCCTTTATTAGATCTTGTTTGAAACAAGATAAGCTGCGCGTATACCTCCAAGGACCATTTCGAGGTCACACAGCACGCTCTTGGGCTATGTAAAAATCATTGTGGTGCCTGCATTTATGCTGTTTAAACGGCTAAACCGAATGCCCAGTTGCTGTATCTTTCTGGCGTAGATGTATTCCTTCTGCAAACTGACTCCTACCATTTTTTGTTTGGTTTTTGACTCTTAGTAAGCCTCCGTCTTTAAGGTGTCCGTGGCACAAGCAGGTGACAGTGTGCCCCGTATGTAGCTGTGCTCAAATTCCTGCACCAGGAGGCATGCAGTCCTGCAGTGGGGAGAAGATTCAGGCCGTCTCCTTTGTCCTCCCCATAGACAAATGTGCCCGTTGGGTTGATCCGATTTCCCCTTTGCTCTGAGCAATTGCCCGTCATCCCCGTTCAGCCAGCAGTGAGAGTTCCCGTTCCCCCCCCGGCTACTAGGGCAGATGGGCAGGCTACTCTGGCCCCATCTATTGGGCAAGGCATGCAGCTTGTAATGAAGATAGCTTTTCACTAGATGTATGACAGTCCTGTTAAAATAGAAAGACAATAACTGGCCACCATATAATTATTCTTTATATTTAGACATGGGGAAATTTAGTATTTGTCATGTTTGTTGAAACACAAACAGTCATTTTATATTGAAAAGTAGTGTTTCTTTAAGTTGCAAGCGTGTGGTAATTAAAGAGGGAATGATCAGAATTGGATGTCACAATCCCCCTTTTAATAGCCATTTAAAGAGGTTAGTTATAATCATTTATGAGAGGTTAGTTATTTTGCTTAAGCAGTTTCAGTGACAGGCCTCTTCCCTCCAGCTCTGGACAAGTTGCTAGAGAGTGCCATAAATATGGGCTGGAATTCAGCGTTCATAAATCCTCTGGGCCCAGAGCAAATCTTCAAGTTAATGCAACTTATCTGGAAAATATCTTTTAACTTAATGCAGAGCAGAATGCTTTATATTAAAAGCATTTTACAGTTTAAACTTAATATAAAGTTTGCTTTTAATATAATGGGTGCTTTAAGCTAAAATCAGAGCAGTTGATGTCTCTCTATTCTTCTGTTTCACATTTCTTGCGCTCTTTATGTAGTTCATCTTTTCCCAAGGAAGGCTCAGCAAACCCGGAGAAAATGGAAGAAAAAGGAGACTCTTCTTAAGATGCAATGAAAAGGGAATCCGGTGCCGATACTCAGTATTGAGTATTTGGTTGCGCACTGAATCTAAAACTGTGAAAGGACTGAAAGGATATAATGGAGCTAGTTGCCACACACCTGGATAACTAAAATGCACTGCTTGTTCTCCGCCTCTCCATAGCATATCCCAATTAAGGTTCCTGCATACGTCGCACCACTTTCAAAAAGGAATCATGCCTTTTGTATTAAATTCCATTCACAGCATTAATAATTTCAGCTGTTTTGTAACAATTATCCAGGTATTAAAAGCTCACCAGATCAATAGTTTAGGTCAGTCTATAAAACTGCTTTTTGTGGCCCTTATAAACGTACTACAGAGTAAGTTTGTAGCGTGTGTTCCTTGTTTTATTAAGTACTTGTAAGGTATTTATAAGATAGAACCTTAATAAAAAGCATTAGTAAAAAAAACTTGTTTTAAAGGAGGCCTAAAGCAGCCTTGAGACCCAGAGGACAAGGCTCTGGCCTGGTAATGGGGAAACACAGAATCATAGGATTGGAAGGGACCTTGGGAGGTCACACCTATTCCAACTCCTGCTCAAAGAAGGGCCAGCCCCAACTAGATAATCCCAGCCAAGGTTTTGTCAATCTGGGTCTTAAAAACTGCCAAGGATGGAGACCCTACAACCTCTCTGGGTAACCTGTTCCAGTGCTTCATTACTCTCCTAGTGAGAGTTTTTTCCTGATATCTAACCTCAACTTCCCTCATTGCAACTTGAGACCGTTGCTCCTTGTTTTGTCATCTGCCATCACTGGGAACAGTCCAGCTCCATCCTCTTTTAAACTTCCCTTCAAAGGGAAGTCGAAACCATTTTATTTCGACTTCCGTTTCGCCATTCAAAGGGATGATGTCTCATTTTGACGGTCCATTTCGAAGCACTGTTGCATTTTGTTTCGTTGAAACTATTTCGACGTTTCGCCCATAGGCTTTAATGGGGAATCATGAAAATGCCAATAACTGTATCGTTTCGTGCCTGATTTGAATGAAAGCAGCAGGGAGGGTAGCCCCTGCTGAGGCCACAAAGCCTGTCATGTTTCAAGGCGTTAGGGAAACTGCACCTCAAACTGTTCAGAGCAAAAGTCGTGTCACTTGTAAGTATGAAGGCACAGAGAACGCTCAGTTCAAACAGTGCTTTTTATGTGTTATCCCAGCCCTCTCGCAGAGCACTGGGATTGGAAGGGACCTCAGGAAAGGATCACATTCACTGGCCAGCTACACAATCAATAATGAGAGCAGTCCTTCCTCTTCCCCCTCTCTCTCCTTTGTTTCTGTTTCCCTGTAAGCAAGCCCAGCTTCGAAACTTGAAATGTTCCAAAAGTTTCGAAATGTTTCAACTGCCCCCATTTTGTTTCGAGGTTGTTTCGAAGCCTTTTGTTTCATTTCGATTTTGCCGTTTCGAGCTCGGAACGAGTCGAAATGAAACGCCCAGCAAAATTTTGCGCAGACCTAGTAGTTAAATCCCCACTCGGTCTTCTCTTCTCCAGACTAAATAAGTCCAGTTCCCTCAACCTCTCCTCACAAGTCATGTGCCCCAGCCTCCTAACTATTGGATGTTAGGAAACAGATTCACCCAGGAGGCTGGTAACGGTTGTATTTGACCCGGCTGCATGGACATGAGTGTGTAGCCACAAGATTTTTAATGAGCAGGCATGTACCATATAGTGGCATTTACCATCCATGGTGACATGTCAGCGGAGTTGCCAACCTTGTTGTCTCATAGGCAGTGTCCATCTACCAGACTATGGTGGTGGTTTGCATCTGGCTGTTGTTGGGGTTAGAGGTGAAGGTAGATTTGCTTGTGCTCCTTTCATTAAACAAACAAAAAATAATAGTAGTTCACAAGTTACAAAAATGGACTGTGAGTCAGGATGACCTGGTTTAATCCATAGCATGGTTTACCACAACTCACTTCTGTTTTTGCTAGGCAAGGAAATGATGCTGGCATCTTGCTAACAACAATAGTATTTAAATAGCTCTGGCTACCAGAGTGTTTCTGTAGGAGAGACGAGCCTTTACATGAACAGTACAAGTTAATTTTACAGTAGTTAACGATCCTGGTGCGGGATATCCTGTAGTCTTGCAATAAGCCATGTTTGGGGGAGTTTCCACTTGAAAGTGTTTCCAGTTGCAGTCAGTTGTGCTGTCTGTTGCAAGACTTCATGATAGGAAAGTGAACTTACAGACAGCACATTCAGAAGTAGTAAGGGGTCTTGTGTGCTTATATTTTGGTACATGTTGAATCTTTGTAG